CTTCTCTCAATTATCAATTCCAGGGCAGTCTTTCTACTGAAGGGAGATGGTCCCACCCTTCTCAAACCATCTCAAACCTTTGGCTAGCCCAAGGTTGCTCAACCTTGGCACTCTTGATATTTTGGACCAGATAATTCTTCGTTGTGGAGGACTGTCCTGTGCATTGTAGGGTATTTAGGCAGCAGCCCTACCTTTACCCACTAGGTGCCAGTAGCATCCCCCAATTTTTGACAACAAATATCCACTGGGCTTACCCCGAGTCCCATCTGTTCTCCTACGACCCAGGCTTTCATACACAACTGGAAATACTCACAGGCTATCTGCTTTCCTTGAGACAGGAGATGCCTTCCGCCCTTCCCTGAGGTAAGGTATGTGAATATGAAGAGCATGGCGAAGAAGGGAGATAAAGGAGATGCAGCAAGGAATATGGTTCATATTCAAAGGCATTATCCCCACCTATGTTGTACTTTCTCACCTGCTGCCTTAACATGTAGACCACATCATTCTAGTACCTTCTTCGTGGCATATTACCTTTTGTATATAGACTGCAATGAATAAGCATACAGAAATAAAGTTAAGGCCCTGGCCAGTTTGGCTCAGCGGTTAGAGCGTCGGCCTGCGGTCTGGAGAGACCCGGGTTCGGTTCCCACTAAGGGCACGTACTTCGGTTGCAGTTTGTCCCCGGCCCTGGTTGGTTGTGCGGGTGGCAGCCACTCGATGTGTCCCTTCACGTCGATGTTTCTCTCTCTCTCTCTCCCTCCCTCTCTCTCCCTCCCACTCTATCTGTACAAAAAATGGAAAAATATCCTCAGGTGAGGATAAAAAAAAGAAAAAGAAAAGAAATAAAGTTAAGAAGCAGAAAGAGATTTAACCACTAAATTATGATCAGTACAACCAGAAAAAAAGAAGAAGAAAAAAGATTATTCTTCAACTCAACACATATGCCTGAGGTACCTGTAGAGGTTCATGTAGAACAATTGGAGATTATACTTTCAGTTCTGTGAAGGTCTCCAGGTCTTTATTCTGCATATTAACAAATGCATCATCTCTGCACAAATGGGGAAAAACACTGGTTGAACCTGAGGCTAAGAGAAGAGGAGATAATTTAGCTTCTAAAACCTCATGTACGGAGAATCTTAGATCATTTCGATTTCTTTTAAAATCCACAAGCTCACACAAAAATGCTTTTGATGCTGCCCTGGGCATTAGTTCTGATTTCAATTCCTGTTGTATTCACATATTCTCAGGTCATTAAACATGAATGGTGTTTCTTTCGGCTACAAAACTCTAAAACAGCACCAGAGGTGGATATAAACCTGTTAAATGGTTACAACTATTTTGGGGAAGTTAATCCCTTTGCTATAATGTTATCTACATTGTATGTTGCTATATTGGGAGACTACAATATATAAAAGCATTAACCCTTCATTTTCCTGAGCACCTCAGCTCCGGCACACAGCAACGGCTGTGCATACGCCGAGCCCCCGCACCTGGTGCCCGGCTGGCAAGAGCTCTGAACTCCCAGAGCTGAGATGGAGCACGTCCCCTTCTCCAGTCAATCAAACTTGTGCCTGGGCTCCAGATGTGACTTAGCACACCAAGTGATTCGTTCCTTTTCCACGGACAGGGCCACTTTGATTTGTGTATCTGCCCTTACTTAATCCACTTCCCTCTTACTTCACCAATATAGTAAATCACGCTCACTCATTCACAATCTGCCTTATAGGTTTACAACCAATTTGAACATTCTTTTAACATTCCCCCCATTTTTGAAACTGAGCATTGTTCGGTTAAGAAATATTCCAGCTTACAGTTCTTTTTTCCTCAAGGATTCAAATAGTCCTTTGGCATTGCGCACTGCACTGCTTCAAATTACCACCATTCTGAATATTAATAGTGGGGTGACTGGTGAAAACACCGGTTTAATATAATTTTCTGGAAAACATTCCAATTAAACTCCCAACTGCTTTTTTAAAAAACATAGTGTACAAGCACTAATATTGATAGATCTTTACTCTGTGCCAGGCATCAGGTTAAAACAGATCCTCCCATTTAATCCTCACAACTGCCCCATGAGATACAGTACTGTCTCACTTGGATTCCCCTGAAAACAGAGCTTGAGACAAAGGCTGTATGTGGCAGTGTTTTAGGGAGATGATCCCTGAGGGCATGAATGAAGGCTAGAGAAACCCGACAGGGAAGAAGAGGATGTTGATACAAGGATTCATTATTGAGACACCATTATGGGCAGCAGAGACTCAGTTCTGCCTGATTTCCTGAGATGTGGACAAATGCCTCTCACAGTTGCCCAGCAGGATAGGAGGCGGGACATTTATCCACGGATTCCCATGCCCCACTGATCAGGGGTTACCCAGGAGCTAGGAAGCACTCACAGGGCAGAAAGCAAAGAAGCTAGTCCTTGACTGCACTCAGGGAAGTGAGTGGATAGAGCCAGCGACGGCCCACCGGAGGCAGGCTCAAATCAGACCTGAAGTATGTGAGCTGGGGCAAAAGACTCCTGACACAGTGATCACCTCCCCGTTTTACAGAGAGAAAAACAAGATACACAGAGGGTACCTCATCTGCTCAGGCCTAAGGCTGGTCAGTGGTAGAGCCGGGTTTCAATCATGGGCCATCTGGCCTCAAAGCCCATGGTCCTAACCACGCGCTGTCAACCCCACCATGTGCGGGAGGATGGGCTGCACTTATCTCCCCTGAAGAGGGAGCAGTCTTTCCACCAATTCAATTTGGAAAACATTTGTGACATTCATTTAAACGTTGCATTTTCTCCTTTGGGAATACCTTTTTAAATCTGCAACAATTCAAGAAAATGCTACTGCAATGCTGCATCTGCACTTAGGAGGGGAAATGAATACTTTTCATTAGAGATCATGTAGGAAGAAAGAGGTTCAGATAGTAATTGCCACCTGAGGGGAAAAAACAAAAAACACATAGCTCATACAATCTTTTTTGAGTTCAGAGACTGCTTTTCCATTTTTTATTAAAATGTAATTCTTCAAAGAATATAGAAATACACCTGACAGTTACCTGCTAGAAGTCAACCATCTGCTTCAAACATACAGAAGAAATACCTACCAAATTCTGCCTCATCAGAATTTATTCGGTTGTACATATATATTATCAGACCACCAAAGTGGCTACATTTGACAGATTCTTTTAAAGTAGACACAATTTTCTGACAGATTGTTTCCCCTTGATGAAAGTTGTAACAATTGTGAAGGGTTTGAAAGATAAGCTTGAAGGGCCACATATTAGCTACCAGGGCAAGGAGCTACAGATGGCATGCACACAGGGTCCGGGAGGCAAGAGGCACGGGGGGAGGGTGTGACAGTCCCGTTTCTGCTATGAGCACACAATGCTTCCAGGAGACCAAACGCACTCCCTCTGCAGGGGAAGGGTCTTTGGGTTCACATTCCGGAATTATAAGACATCACACTCAGGACAGGACAGAAAAAGGAGACTCCTTACACACTGTCTGAGCTTCCTCTGAGGGACAAAGACCAGTGTGGTTTAAAGAAAAAATATATGAGAATCACTGCCTTCCAGTTGCGGATGCGGTGAGAAGGCCCACTTCCCTTCAAGCTTGCTCAAGGCACTAAATGAGCTAGCTCCCTTGCACACTATTAACAAAAACAAAATGCCCTAGAGAGAAGAGCAGGGCTGGAATTTGATTTGCACGTAAGAGTACAGTGTCATCTGCGTTTGAATTCAGCCTGGTAAAATGCACCAGTGGATTTGACTTGTCTGTGAGAGCCCCCAGGGTCTAATCACTAGGGGACCCTATCCTCCCTCTTCTATCCACTCTGGCTCCTACTGACCCTTCACTGAGAAAGAGGAAGTGGAGAGCTCACCTGGGCTACGCTGCCTTGGCACTTTACAATTAATTCTTTCTCCCTGTTCTGTTCCTCCTTTGTGTCACAATGAAAGGAGAAACCAGTTGCCCAGAGAGACTGAAAATGAGACTGGCCAGCCTGTGTCTGCAATCCTCCTCAGAAGGGAGCCATTTTTGCCCGCCTTTTCCCAACCTTTTGGGCAGAATTACCTTTCCTAATCAAGTAGTTTTAGCTTGATGTTTCCAGGGGTCCCAATTTACACTAACTTTGCATTTTAAAATTACCTTTACTCCTAATGACTGCTACATAGCACCTTTCAGGTGAGATCAAGTGGGAAGAGAAAATACTACAGTGTGTGGACATTTCAGTCTTTCTTCTCCACCTCTAAGCTTCTCTCTTGGTTGAAAAACAAACAAACATAATTTAAAGGGGAAAGACTTAGTAAAGAGCTTGCAGTGCTTTCCCACCAAATCTGCAGACATGTCTTTCTGAGGCCTCATTGATGCCCGGAGAAGGGCAGGATAATCAAGGGTAGACTATCTCCCCTATGGCCAGGCACATCTATTGCCATGTCAGTCAAATGGGGGCAGAAGAGACATTCCTTATCCATATCCCAGTGAAAGGGATGACAGGCATCAGGAGAAACACAAGACATATGACCAGGCCTTCCTAAGAAATGGTGTTAAATGCCAAGTCCCTATCTTCCCTGAAGATAAGATCGATATCAAACATTTTAAATTTATTTGTCACATTTAAGTCCATCAAATGGGCATCTTCTTTGTAGCCATACCACTCCACCATTATCTTGGACTTGGAATGGTCCTGTTCCCTTTGAGCTCATGGATGCCCTTCTCTCTGTGTAGACTCTGCTGGACTCAGAGAACTGAGGATCCCCAGATGATACACATGGGTTACCCACCCCAAGGCCTGATTCACAATGCCTAGCTTTCGTCTCCAGAGAGAGGAACGTGGACTTTACTGAGGACATGGATCACTGTGATTATATATATTCTCCCTCAATAAAGATGACATTGATTTTATACAGATTTCCCTCTCATTCAAAAGCATTTGGCCCAGACAGGAAAAGTAGACCCATTTTGGGTTGCAATGAGATCATATAAATCACAGAACCACACTGAAGGGCAAGCCGGAATGGGGGAACTCTCTGCTGCTTCCAGGATTTTGAATCCTTGCTAGGAATCCACCTTTGGGAAAATGCTCACTTTATTGTTTCTGCTCAGCTTTCGCTCCACCCTGCCTACCTTGGGCATCTTTGTCTGGATCAGCTCTTCTGGGGTGTTACCCAAGGGGGGAAGCAGCCGCTTTTTGCTGTTTCGGGTCTCTGAGAGCCACTGAGGAGGCAACTCAAAAGGACCAAAACCAAACTGCAGGGAATACTTGCCAGGGAAAGTCTCAGGCTCCACAGGGGCTGCTGGTGCCACCTGGGATATAGAGTCCACTGTGCCCGGGGGTGACATAGGGGGTACAAACTGTGGCCCCTGCTCTCCCTCCAGGCAGGTGCTAAGTATCTCCTTGGTCTGGAGGTCAGCAGAGCCAGTGTACTTGGCCTCACTTTCTTCCTCGTCCTCCGTGGGCTTAAAGATCTGCTGTTGCCCGATGTGGAACATCTCCAGGAGCTGGCTTCCTGAGCGCATGCTGGGCTCCAGGCTGGCATCAGCCAGCCCACTGCCTGTACTCACCACGTTACGGCGACTGTACCGGTGGTGCAGCTGTACCAAGGTCCCTACCAAGCACTTGCGGACAGATTTGTTCACAGTAAGAAAGAGCACAGGGTTCGCTAGTAGAGAGACCTTAGGCAGCCAAATGGCAGTGAGCAGCAAAAAGACAGAAGTGTCAGGGATGTTGAGCACAGTCTGGTAGACAACCAGGGTCGCATAGGGCACGCTACATAAGATGAAGACCATCACCATTGAGAGCAGGGTGGCGTGCAGCTCGGCCTCCCGCTGGGAGGCATAGGGGATAGAGATGGTGTTCTGTGGGGTCCGGAGCGCTGCTATGATGACCTTCTTCTTCTGGCTAGCGCTCAGTGCCCGCCGAATCAGTATCAAGAAGAGGAAGACCACAGCCACAGGCACAATGACCGTGGTGATGTTATAGATCAGAACATATACCAGGTGGCCCAAGGAGTTGCTCCAAACTTCGGTGCAGGTGGACATGGCATAGATGTCGGCCACATTGGTCACTGCAAACACTGGAATGCTGGCCACCACTGCATGGGCCCAGATGTACATCACCAGTTCACGAGACTTGGCATCAGATATTTTTCTCTCCAGCGGATAGAGAACTGAGTAGTACCTGCAAAATGCACATGCAAAATTCATTTTCACAGGAGAAAATATGCTTTAAATTGGGGAATCTGTATTACTAAAAGTAGGAGACATAAAAAAAGGGTTAAGTTCTTTTACTCTGCCTAAGAAAGAGGGAACCAATGAGGAAACTGGGTAGCCAGACCTTAAGTTTTGAGGACTTTGCCGTACAATTCATAACTAGCTTTATTATTACTGCCACCAGGATTAAATCCCAAAGAGTGCTCTCAATATAAAGGATGTCTCCATCTGCTGCAAAGATACCGATTTTTCAATTTAAGGGTAATTTGTAAAAAATTTTATATGGGTTAGAGAAGATTTAGGGCAATTTTCAAAGCCACTAACATAAAGAAATTTGCACACATTTCCAAAGCAGACTTATGCAACAATGTATATATGGATATGTTAACCTTACAGCTGATCAGGGCAAAACCCAATATGAAGGATGGACTCTGACAAAAACTATGGCTGCTCAGTAGCTATTGTTCCCATAATAATCACTTAGTAACCCTAAGATCAATTAATAGGCCTAAAATGCCTGCATGATACAAGTTTTTTTCTTTCAGGCTTAACTTGATTATTCCATAACCACCTGAACAGAATCCCAAAAGCACCTTGCTTCGCTATCAGCAATGATTTGGCAGAACTGAGTAGTTCTTCAGACCCTAGAGCCACATCTTGCAGGAAAGGGCTGCCAACAGCCACCAGGAACATGGTGACTGTCAGAGATTAGCTTTGCCTGCGTCACTGGAGTCAGCTAGTGCTGGAGTCAGTCGTCCGCCCTACTAAATAACATTCATTCACTCATGGGCCAGGTAAGCATGCATGCTTTCCTAGCACAGGGATTTCTGGGCACCACCTATGTGCCAGACACTGGGTTACAAAGAAGAAAAGTCATAAAGGAATGTTTCTGAAGTTAATGGGGGAAAAGGCATGCAAACAAACAATTATAAATGAGATGATGGTTCTACTAGAGGTATGCACAAGGGAGGTATGGGAGAGGGAGCACCTGAGGAAATGTCAAGAGAAGGTGGCACTGTGGTGGAGTCTGGCGGGGGACAAGTTGGGGGACAGTGTTCCAGCTGAGGGAGACACAGATGATCAGAGATGTATGGGCATGATGAAATGTCCTAGATGTCTTCTGGGAGGGGAAAAAAAGGAGAAAAAACAAAACATAAGTTATGCATGCTCTCAATTTTATTTCTCTGAATACAGATAAAAGTTTCTAACCACAACTCTATAAATCCAATGTGATGGCCTGCACCCACGGATAAGCACACACTCAGGAGCTCACTGTCTCTGACTCCCATTTGCTAACTAGCAGATAACAAACCCAGGCTTCATTTTTTGGTTCCATTATGTAGTGGGAAATAGACTGCAACACAAGCACACAGGATCATTATAAATAATTGTGTTAGTGTGTACACCTCTAGAAAATAATGCAGGAAGTGTAGGTGGCCTTCCAATTAACTTGCCTGACTCGGTGCCATGAAACAGTATCTGAGAAAGAAGTGAGAGAAAGGACTGTCTTCCCTTCAACTTCATGTGCACCACACTTAAGCTTACAGGTCATCTGTATCTCTGGATAATAAAAAAGGAACCTACCAGCCTTATTTTTCTATTAAAAGGACTTGTTTACTTTTTAAAAAGAATGGCAAATATACAGTAGATATTCTCATGGAAAAAAAAAAAAACAGGGATTTCCTATTGCTTGCATATCTCCCTCTCTAAAGCCAAGGGCCCAGAAATAACCCATGATGATTATTGCACTGATTTCAGGTATAGCAGAAAAGTGTTCAAAATAACATGTTCTCACCCCTGTTGAATCCTATTCCTAAAAAACTTTCAGGATTCATAGTAGCATTATTCACAATAGCCAAGAAATGGAAACAACTCAACTGTCCATCAACTAATAAATGGATAAATAAAATGAGGTATAGCCATACAATGGACTATATTTAGCAATACAAAAGAACAAAGAAGGGTGATAAGAGAGTAGATCCTAAGAGTTCTCATAACAAGGGAAAATATTTTTCTTTTTAAAATATCTATATGAGATTATGGATTTTAGCTAAACTTACTGTGGCAATCAGTTCACAATATATGTAAGTCCTTTACACTATATACCTTAAACTTATCCAGTGCTGTATGTCAATTATATGTCAGTAAAACTAGAAGAAAAAAAGAAATAAAGTACTAATGCATGCCACAACATGGATGAACCTTGAAAACATTATGCTGAGTAAAAGAAGCCACACATAAAAGAACACATATTATATGATTCCACTTCCATGAAATGTCCAAAAATGGCAAACATACAGAGACAGAAAGTGCTTAGTGGTTGCCAAAGTCTGGGACTGGGACTAGAGTGCGAGTGTAATGAGCATAAAGCTTCTTTTTAGGTCAATGGATCTGTCCTAAAGTCCCACTGTGGTGACAGCTGCAAACTCTATAAAGACATTAAAATTCATGGACTTGTACAGTGAAAATGGGTGAATTTTGTGGTACATAAATTATATTTCAATAAAAATGTTTCTGAAAAACTTCCAGAAAAGTCCACAATGTGGTCTGAAGACTTTAGACCTTGCCAAGCACGTACTACAGGGGCCCTTGGAAGGACACCAGCTATGAACAGTGGTTCAACACAAAATTCATTAGGGCTGTAGTTAATTACATCACCACGACGTAACTCGACTTTTCACTGTTATATTCCAGTCTGTGCAACGGTTCTTCCAGATACTGAAAGGCCTCTTGTTGAGAACGGCAGAGACATGCAGAGTTACTGTAGAGCAGTCATGGCAAACGGGCATCGCATGATGCACATGTAGCTTGCTGAAGGGATTTGAATAGTCCACATATTTTTTTAATGCAAATTAATTGCAAACATTTAAAAATGACAGAATTCTAGTCCGGCCAGTTTGGCTCAGTGGTTGAGCGTTGACCCATGCACCAAGAGGCCGCCAGTTCGATTCCACATTCAGGTTGTGGGCCCAATCCCCGGTGAGGGGCATGCAGGAGGTGATCAGTCAATGTTTTCTCTCATCGATATTCTCTCTCATCGATGTTTCTATCTCTCTCCCTCTCACCTCCTCTCTCTAAAATCAATAGAGGGAAAAAAAAATTTTTTAATGAAAATGACAGAATTCTAGATTTCTGATTTCTCGTCTAAGAAAATAAGAGTCCTGCCCACTAAATCTAGATAGCCACAAAGCAACTATTAGCTGCATCTGCTAAGTGACTGGCCCAATGAACACAAATGCAGACACACAGCCCCAGCCTGGCCCATGTCACTTGGATTTGTCACCTGCTACTCTACCCCTGTGGATGGTGAGTTTCTAGAGAAAATTCCAAAGAGCTGGAATGGCTGATGGTAAAATGATTGCAGACGATATATCTAAGGAAGAATGTGACGATTAAAAGCAAAGCCTAGAAAAGAGAGGCAAATATTGGTGCAATCTATCCAAGCACAGGCCACAAATAATTCATTTAATTCTTAGGAAACTGAGGCTCAGAAAGGTGAAGCCACTTGGCCCAAAGCCACCCACCAAGAATGCAATGTAGATATAGAGTTCTGGGCTCCAGAGTCCCCTCTCTTAAACCAACTTCTCCTCATATGCAGGGTCTTAGTATGACTGTGTTCTCATGCGATGACACTAGACAGCGAATGAAATCAGGGTTCCAGGCCCGAGAGGTTGCAGTGATTCTACAAATCGGTTCCACAGTCCATACCCCCATAGATCATTAAAGTATTCAGTATGTTCTGAATGGACAAAGAGTTTAAAAATTCATCTAAAAAGCAGTTACATTTATTGTCGGGTATAAAGTCAAAAGAGCCGGCATTATCCCTTTTAGCAACATTTTCCCTCTCTGCAAATCTTGAAATCAAAAGTATTCATGGACACAAAATACTTTCAATTCTTGTTTGCTTATTTAATTCTATTCTCTAAAATGTACTATTATCTCAACTGTATTTGCAACATGCTGGCAACAAAGGGGAAAGGCAGGAAGCTGTTGATTACTGAGATCTTTACACTTTGATAAATTTGATCAAACTATGTATGATGGTCGTAGCTATATATAAAATTAATTTCCAAATGAACATCCTCCTAAAGAAGATAGGAAGAGAAAACAACAACCATCACAATAAAAGGCCTTGGAAATAAATCCTCCAAAGGAATTCTGGTATTATCTGGCCAGGTCCAACTGGACTAGCTAATCATTTGTTAAATAACCACTGAATTATTCTCTTGTTTTTTCAGAAATGTTTTCATCCTATTCAAAAAGCCCTAATTGCGGAGTTATCAATCAGATTGATGACACTGTAATAATCTGGTTATTATTTAACAGGAAAGGAGTGAAGGGAAGACTAAATAATATAGATGTGCCTTTTATACAGCTTTTCCAGAAAGCTGAAGTTAACACTCTCCAAGTCTGTTCCCTGAAGATCCATGGGAGAAGGGACTGAATAAAGGCAATTTAGATTCTTGCCCAATAAGGTCTGAGTGATGTGGGAAGGTGGAAGGTGTCTATCTGCCTGTCACACCTGAGAGCAAGTCAGTGGCCAGAATAGGCGTGGCCACTGCAGGCACTTGAAACCTGAATATCTGAACTCTCACCAGGAGTGGGGAACCTTTTTTCTGTGAGGCATGTGATGTTAGCTGGTATGAATTTCTCGAGCCTTATGTGGCCCAAGGGCCAGACATTCCCCACCCAGACATTCTCTCTCTCGGTCCGTCTCTCTGTCTCTGTCTCTGTCTCTGTCTCTCTCTCTCTCTCTTTCTCTTGCTGCTGCACCAGACTCCCGGCTTGTAGGGCTCCCAGGTCCTGTATTTGCCACGTGGCCCACAGCCATATGGACTCCACACAATAAATTAGTGGACTGATTCTAGACTGATGCCACATGAACCTAGTTTCATCATGGAGAGAAAGCTCTGTATACTGGCCCCGCTTCTTTTAGCTTTGCTGAATCCACAGCTGCCCCTCTTCCAGGACTAAACTGAGGGACATGGGACTTTACTACTCCAGAAATGTAACTCCATGCCAATAGAGGCCATTCATTATCCTGAGCCCCACTCCCACAAGAGTTGAGGGAATCTGGCCCCTGACCCTTCCGGTAACAAGATGAGCCAACCTACTGCAAATTGCAACACATGTAACACCAATTCCAACCAAGCTGAAGCTACACCATGATCCAGTAGCTCTACCCCAGCATCCTCACGATGTGACTGCCCAATGTCACATCTTTCTTCAATGGTCCTATTTTCCGACGCTGCTGTTATATCCACCTCTCTGTGTGAAGCATCTGTTCTGGCAACTCATTCTCTTTCTGTTGACCACAAGCTGACTGAAATGTGGAATCATGGCTATTTCTCATTTGTTTCATGATGCTAATATTTCAGTACACTTAACAATAAAATAAGCCTCTGGCTACCTGACCTTACCTGTCCAAGGCAATGGCAGGGAAGCTGAGGATAGTCACAGAGCAGAAGACTTTGTGCAAAAACTTGACGACCTTGCAGAAGAGCATGGTGTAGATCCACCAGCAACAGTGCGGACTGGTGCTGAGGACAATGTCAAAGGGCACGCAGACCAGGCTGGCACAAATCCCCGAGCAGGCCAGGTTTTTAATGAACCTGTTGGTGACAGATTTGAACACGGTTGTGCGGCAAGTTGACCATAACACCATGAAGTTTCCTGGCCAGATATGCAAAAATAAATAAATAAAAATAAAAATAAATTTTAAACAAAAAGAAAGAAGACAAAAAAAGGAAAGAAAATGCAGGTTAAAAGAGACTCAAAAACCGCATTTCAGAGTTGATTTCAAAGAATTTAATTCAAATAGTTACATATTATATTGTCAATTTATATGAAATTATTAAATCACTTATGTACATTTCAAAAAGTCCAGAAGACTTTTTAGTGGTGAGTTCTGTTACTTAATTTAGGCATATCCTGTTGTGGCCCTTCATAGCTCTTATCATAATTATTTATTTGTTTACTAGCATTATGATGCTGACCCAGTCTCCTCTCTGTATAAATAATTTGCTAGGTATTACTTAATTCCAGGCCATCTACTCTCACCAAGTTTGCAAATGACTTCCACAATGCCCAACTCTGCAACAGAATCAGGGCGCAAGCCACACATGCAATTTTCTAGAAGCCATATTTTTAAAAAAAGGAAAGCAGGTAAAATTTTCTTTTTTTATCCTCACCCGAGGACATTTTTCCATTTTTTGTTCAGATAGAGTGGGAGGGAGAGGGAGGAAGAGAGAGAAAGAGAGAAACATCGACGTGAAAGGGACACATTGAATGGCTGCCACCCGCATGACCAATCAGGGCCGGGGACAAACTGCAACCGAGGTACATGCCTTAGCGGAACCGAACCTGGGTCTCTCTGGACCGCAGGCTGACACTCTAATCACTAAACCAAACAGGCCAGGGCTTTTATTTATTTATTTATTTTTAATCCAAGTGACATTTTTTTTTTTTAATCCTCACCCGAGGACATTTTTTCATTTTTTTGTTCAGATAGAGCGGGAGGGGGAGAGAGAGAGAGAGAGAGAGAGAGAGAGAGAGAGAGAGAGAGAGAGAGAGAAACAACGATGTGAAAGGGACACATTGAGTGGCTGCCACCCGCACAACCCAACCTGGGCTGGGGACAAACTGCAACCGAGGTACGTGCCCTTAGTGGGAACTGAACCTGGGTCTCTCCGGACGGCAGGCCGACGCTCTAACCACTGAGCCAAACCGGCCAGGGCCAGGTGAAATTTTAATAGTGTATTTTATTTAACCCAATGTATCCCAAATACTACCATTTCAACATGTAAGCACTACTTTAAAAAGGAGTAATAAAATGTTTTTCATTCTTGTGTTTGTACTCAGTCTTTGAAATATGGTATGCGTTTCTTCAATTGAAATATAACTGACATACTCCACTGCCTTAGTTTTAGGTGTACCTGGTGTGCACTTTGCGTTACACATACAGCACATTTCAGTTTGCACTGGTCACACCTCACTGCTCGTGAGCCACATGCAACTGGTGGCTGCCACACAGGACTGCGCTGCTCTAGACCTTTAACACAAATGACACATTCCACAGTTCCCTCTGAGCTTTCTCCTCCCTGGCTTCCACAGGCCTCCAGTCTCCTGGTTCTCCTCCTACCTTTCTCACCTCTCCTGTCCTGGCTACTCCTAGCTTTCTTTACCAGGCCCTTTTCTATCCTCTGCAGCCTCTCCCTAAGTTAGATTACCCATTTGGATGGCTCTCTATTAAAATACTGATGATTTACACACTCCTGTCCCAAAAAAGGCCTCTCCTCTCATCTCCAAACTCCTATTTCCAACTAAACATCTGACTCCCCACCCCTCTCAACCTGTCCCACCTTCCTTTGGCCCTCAAAAGCCTAGGTGATCCAGGTGCCGACCTGCCTAATCTCACTCCTCTCTTCCCCTGGCTCACTGGGCACCAGTCACTCCGGCCTTTTTTCTCCTTTAAACAGGATCAAGGGTGATCCTGTCTCAGTGCCTTTGCACACATTTTTTTTATACTGCCTAGCATGCGCCTCCTATGTCTGGTTCCTTTTCATCTAAGTCTTAATGTAATTGCTGCCTTCTCCAAGAGGACCTTCTCTAACCATCTTTTTATTTTACTCACTGCTCCTCCCTCCGTTATAGCCTATTTGAGTATCCTGCTGCGGCCTTCATAGCTCTAATAATAATTATTCATTTGTTTACTTGTTTCCCCTCCATTTCATGAGGATAAAAACCACATCAATCTTGTTCATGTTACAACTTCACTGCCTTGCTCAGTATCTGACACACCACAGGCATTTGACAAATATTTGTTAAATAAATAAATTTGTAAGATAAGGGGACAAACAGCAATCAAAAGTCCCTGCACTAAGATGATCCCTTTTGTAGTAGGTACATCATGTGAGGATATTCTAAGTCAGTAGTTTCCAAACCTTACTATACATCAGAATTACTATATCAGACATTCTGAATCACAGCTAATAGGTATAGAACTGGGAATCTGCACTTGTAACAAGCACCCCAGATACAACTGGCCCCAGACTAAAGTTTCAGAAACAACTCCTCTACACAGAATTTATACCACCACCACCCACCGCACCCACGGCTCCCAGGGACCAAGTCTTCAGGTCTGCAGGGAAGCCTACTCTACTGGTGGAGCGTTTACCTGGTGAGAGCCAGGTCCATCAGCCTATCAGTCATGACCCAAGGACACACACTCAGAGAATGTCCTCCAATGAACTGAGCCAAGAGCTTGGCCTTACTCGGAAGGAGAGTGATGGTACCAGGGGAGGGGAAAGCAGGTTTCAAGGCTGTAGCCAGTCACTGCAAGGAGCTGCCTCTGCACCTCAGATGTTGACATAATTCATGTCAAGGGTCTCTCTTCAAACACAATATTCTATAGCTCCCTCTTATCTGCCTGACAAAGTAGAAAAAACAGCCACTGTATCTATGTAAGTAGGCCAGCTGCTTCCAGGAAGTTCTCTACCAAACCCTCCTTACATTAGCAGCTGCCTCACTGAGAAGAAACCCGCTGTGTGAATATATACGTACACACATTTACTCAGCGGAAGAGTGGTTTTACTAATGTCACCACCTCCGGTCCCCTCAAGCTCTCCTGTCACCAAGGTGACAGAGCAATAATAATGTATGTGAAGCTCCACTGACTTGAGGAATTATTCTTCCTAGCCTTTTCCCATGGAAGCCCAGATCAGAATCTGGCTGAAGCATCTTTCCTCACTTCGGTTTTACATACAGGACTTAAGTTCTGGTAACCATCTAAAAATGAAATAGCCCACTTGAAGGAATCTGCCCTGAAGAGAGAGCACATGTCACAGTATCTTCAGTTATCAAAATCAAGGATGTCTCCAGTCCACTGGGGGACCTCCCATAAAGGCAATCTTTCTTTGCTATAAATCAAGACTCTCAGGCGCTTCTTTTTCTTTCATCACTGTCAATCTTTGTAGCTTGGTAGGTTATGATGAACAAAACATTTTGAGCAACCAAACAAACTGGAAAATTCATTACAAAGGAGGGGATGGGCTGGCAGCCAGGGTCTCTCATGCACACAGTAGACTCTGTTGAAATTTACACTTATTTCCATCATTACCCTCACACACTACTCTCTATCTTTCCCTCCTCCTCTCTATTATGGCAGGCATACTTTTTCACTGCTTAAAAAAATTATTTTATTAGTATGTCTGCACTTGTGAATAAGAAAACTTGTATTCAGTGGTAATTATTGAATACCTAAGACTCCTATAATCACGTTATATCTCCATTTATTTATATAGCTCTAGGTGGCAGCTGGTGCCTAATCCCTTTTGCTATTAAGAACCTGAACCTAAGGAAAGCTATGTTCTTCCCATTCTCTAAACCACTTCTCTCTCTCCTCACTTTAAAACTAACTCACTGGACTCTAAGAACCTGAATTAGACCCAAATATCAGGAGAGGAGCACCCATACTCAATATCAGATTGGCTACACATAAAACAAGGTATGTGACTGTACACACAGACATATAACTAAGCATATGAGAATACATGTACATTCATACACACAAATATATACATAACAACAAAGCAAGATAGTTCTATATTTGATCATTTAATCTCAATAGCACTTTATAGTCTCCTATTTTACAAGGCACTGAGGATAACTCAGTATATAATTTAAGTAACATAGTAATCAACCTCAAGATACTTTTTTTTTAGGTTTGTAAAAAATTTATTTTTATTGACAGTATTACAGATGTCCCCATTTCCCTCTCCCTTGTCTCCCTCCACCCAGCCCCTGCCCCACCTCAGGTCTTCACCACACTATTGTCTAAGTTCACGGGTTATGCATATATGTTTTTTGGTTAATCTCTACCCATCCCATCCCCTCTGAGATCTATCAGTCTGTTCCATGCATCCATGCCTCTGGACCTGTTTTGTTCATCAGTTTATTTTGTTCATTAGGTTCCACATATAAGTGAGATCATGTGATATTTGTCTTTCTCCAACTGGCTTATTTTGCTTAGCATAATAATCTCCAGGTCCCTCCATGCTGTCTTACAAGGCAAGAGTTTCTTCTTTTTACAGCCTGTAGTATTCCACTGTGCAAATGTACCACAGATCCACTGATGGGCACTTGGGCTGTTTCTAGATCTTGCAAATAACATTGCTATGAACACAAGAGTGCATATATTCTTTCTGATTAGTGTTTCAGGATTCTTAGGATATATTCCCAGAAGTGGGATCACTGGGTCAAATGGCAGTTCCATTTTTAATTTTTGAGGAAACTCCATACTGCTTTCCACAGTGGCTGCACCAGTCTGCATTCCCACCAGTGGTGTACTAGAGTCCCCTTTTCTCCACATCGTTGCCAGCACTTCTTGTTTGATGATTTATTGATAACAGCCATTCTGATAGGTGTAAAGTGATGTTGAGCATTTTTTTATGTCTACTGGCCATTTGTATGTCCTCTTTGGAGAGGTGTATATTCAGATCCTTTGCCCATCTCTTAATTGGGCTGTTTGTCTTCCTGGTATTAAGTTGCATCAGTTCTTTATATATTTTGGAAATTAACCCCTTTATCAGATGTATCATTGGTGAATATGTTCTCCCATACAGCGGGTTCTCTTTTCATTTTGTTTATGGTTTCTTTTGCTGTGCAGAAGG